GCTCCTTGATTACTAATTCTTTTAATCCCATCTTCATGCATTATTGTTCTACTCAATATGGTGGAAATTGGCGTTTTTACTTGTGGAGAAATCGTTTGGTCTTTGAAAGGCTTCCGTGTAAGTTTCTTTCTTTTTTTGTAGCTTTATTTGACCCTTTAGTGGGTTTGTTGTGTCTTTTGTCCTCGATACGGGCTTCACAGTCCCAACCGGTTTTGAATGTTAAACAGAAATAAAGTGCAGACAAAATGTTGAGTTTGGAAATTGTTTCACTTATTTTATTTGGTTCAAATACTTCGAACTTACATCTTTCAATGCTTATAGGTTTCTGAAAGAAAGGTACACTTCTTTCTTTTTCTCTGATCAAATAACTGAATGCAGGAACTGTCTTAAGTTCCATATGCAGCTACCTTAAGCACATGCAGGTACAACAACACTCCGCATATGCACAAACACAATGGAATATGGAGCTATTGTTATTGGCTCTGTTGAATTTATATGTATCGGCTCTATAGGAGGTAAGTCACCTGTCGAATTAACCTGAAGAGCATTTCCATTGAGTAGCATAGTCTGACTGTGTAAGTTTCCATCCTTTGCTGTCAAATGGTACTCTTCTCTTTGGATTTCCCCATTAGGATCCTGTGGAAGTTGGGAAGTTGCTCTTTTATAAGACTTCATGTGCTTTGTATGTCTAAGACTGAAAGTCTTATTTAACTCTACTTTCGCTACAACCGTCGTAGTGTTGTCAAGGTTCATCAGTAAAACTGTGATCCCTTTCTGCATGATGAAACTTTAAAAGTTAGATCGGAATAATACCATTTTTGTTAGTTGTATGGAAACTCGACTTACTGATTGTCTTGCACAATGTGTGTATGAACGTATCTTTTTGGTTCCAGAAAAGGTTGTGAACAATGCCTTTCTTCCCATAAGTTGTCGCCAGATCAGAGCACTGCAATTTAACAAGTAGCATGATTTGTAGTAAGGGTAAAATAAAATACTATTTTTATTGCGTCTTCTTCCCATTTCTTCAGTTGACGTACTAAATTCATCTTGTGTTACCTGTAATAATCTGGATTCGGTGTGAAGTTAGTAGTATTTAGCAGCCCATAGTTTCCTCCGATCAGAGACTGTCTGCAGTATGTTTTTGTATCATAAAGCGATGCCATTCCAAGCTGGTCTAGGTACCTACCATCACGCAGTATAATCTCATTAGAAATGTTTTTAGTGTATTGCTTATGATAAGCTTAGTTTTTGCTGTCATAATATCTATTTCTTACCAGAAACTATACACGAAAGCATTAGAGACAAGATTCCGCCCGCTGTTGTAGGCACCACCAGATTCACCAACCCATGCCACGGCCTTGGTTGAGGATTTTTTAATTATGTTCTTGACGCTGCGAAACGTTATTGCCTCTTGGTCCAGATATGAAGGGTTAAGAATCTTTTCTATCAGATGTTCATCGACTCCTAATCAGTCAAAATATAGTTTTCTTTACATTCAGGTAAGGGAAATGATGAACCTTCAGGATGTGAAACGAAGATTGAGTATTCGGGTTACCTGGACCGAGATCGTAGATGTGGCGAGTAGTAGCATTGAGAGAGTTTTCTGCTTTGTTCAAGTAATCCGTGAACCAATCAGCTTCAAAGAAGCCACCCGGACCTATCACCAACGGCATGGGACTCACATTCTTGTAAACCCGGTTCACAATGTTTCGTAGATTTATGGTGTCTATAGCATACTGATTTGCTGCAACTCGTGCACCAACACCACTTCCACACAGCTCATTGCCTATTGAGACAAAAAGCAAAACCAGCTTGGAGATGTGATGAGAATTCGGTCAGGCCTATGTATTCTTTGTTGTATCGTAAAGTGACTTACCGAGCTCCCACCCGTCGATGGTGTGGTTATTCTGTGCTGTAAACCGGATGAATGATTCAGCATTGGTGTAATCCCAGGCTCCTATGGCTTCGCCGTTTGGTTTTATGGAACGCCCAGAGAGTGCATTCAGTCCAAAGATGACTCTAGCTCTGATTCAAACCACAAGTAGGTAAGGAAAGAGACACAGAGAAGAAAAGAAAGTTGAAAGAAAGAAGAGAATACCCGGTTTTTCGAAAGAAGGCATTGAGCTCATCCCATCGACGCATAGGTAGACATCCTTGTGTGTAACCAAAGAGAATTGAAGAGTTTTTGGTAAAAGGAAGACACGGTTGCTTCTGATCTGGTGTCTCATATATCACTATGTCTTGTAATGTTCCTCCTATTCTTATTTTCAAAGGAGCAAATGCTGTGTTTTTGGAAATTGGAACAATGGTCAAATCCTGACATTAACCAATATAATATATATTAAGAATGTGATGTAGTAATTACCTTTGATTGCATTTTGAAGAATAGTGTTGTTCAAGTCCTGCAAGAAGCTCGACCAAAATTTTCATAAGACTTTCATATTTCTCTAATCAATTACTTCATATTAACATGACCAAATTTTCTTTGTAATCAATTGTTAAAAATGGAATATGATGATAAAACAAAGGAAAACTTTTTTACTTGCCGCATCTTGATTTTTGACTGCCACATTCCATAAATGGTAAAAAAACTTATAAATGATTTTTTTCTAATTTCTACGTTTTCTACAATGAGTAAATTCTATTTGCTAAATGAAGAGAAGTACCTAACAAATATCTCAATTTATTTCTGTTTTTTTTTTAAATATCAAAAATACAAGTTGCATTGTTTTCGACGGAGACACATGAAGATGAAAACAAAAATTGATAAAAAGAAAAGAGAGAAAAGTCAAAAAAACCAGATTAAGAATGGAAGCATGGTCCCAACTACAAGTGCCGTAGTCACATTTCTCCGGTGGCCACCAGTCTAAGGTGGCGCAAATGAAGTCTTCGTCTATTGTTCCCACGGCGGCTCTTCCGTACACAGACACCGTCCCAGTCTCTTCTACGGCGGAGCTAACGGTGCAGTCCAAGAATTGAAACACACAAAGAAACAAAACTATGATCCAAATTTGACGACAACCCATTATTTCTCTCTTCTTTCTTTTTATTTATAAGAATATGAGATCTCGTTCCGTTTGGTGTTTATATAATATATGGAAATGGAAGACAGACACACATTCCGAAAAAGTGAAATTGTTTTTATTTATTTATTTACTTGTTTCAGTTGTTACATTTTTTTGGCTAAGAGTTTGAGTTGTTACTTGACCTTTAATAAAAAGTAGTATTACAAAAAAAGGTGAACTAAATTAAATGAAGTATACATTTCTGATCTCTCTACCTGCACAACTTTTTTTTTTTTTTTGGAAAGAAACTTTTATACAATGTTGCTTTTAAGTTACATGATGAGGGTTTCACGGACTCAACAAAATAAAATCAATGATTATATATAGTTTGGTATCCATTATAGATGAATTGCCAAGTTTTAATGCGAAGAAAAACTTTATGTTTAACTATATTTACATTTTATTATATTACCAAAACTTTGCAAATTTTATCATTTGCCTATATTATTTAATTAGGGGGTTTAACAATATACTATACTAGACTACTAGTATAATCTACTGCATATTTCAAATTTTATGGTTATTATTTTCTTAGTTCTCATTTTCTTTATAAGGATTTTTTTAAATTTAGAGTTTTGGAATATAAAATCAAAAATGTAAAACTGGCTTTCAAAAACACTATACTATAGTTTCTTATATGTAACAAATTTCAATGACTATAACTAAATTAGAATAAAGCTATATATTATGAACGTGATGGAGGTAAAAAAATCTCTTGTGGATATTTGCAGTGCAATATTCATGTACTAATATCATATATAACGATTTATAAAGTATAACGTAAGAAAATGTAGTCAAATTCCCGCTTATTTTATCAAAAAAAAAAAAAAATGTAGTCAAATATATAAAGTATGAGTCACTTTTTATTTTTAATTTAATCAGCTATACATCTAACGAACTTAGGTAGCAACTTGTGGGGGTGGCAGGTGCACAACTATGAGCGGACTTAGGTAGTCATTGCTCCGGTTAGTTATTCCTCTATATGTATACATAAATCTTGAAAACTTTAAAACGAAGTTATTGGACAATTTATTCAACATGATATCATTAGTTAGTCTAGCTATAAGCTTTAGTAAACATCAGTAGCAACGCATATTGACAAATGTTAACTATATAAAATAATCAGAAACAGAAACACCAATGATTATTAACAATAATTTAACACATATTTCCAATAATAATGACTTTTCTGTAATGATTATCTTGATTTTCATTTGGAATCTGCAATTATTTAACATGAGCATATTAGGTGAACGAAAACAAAGTTGTTGATATTGACATCAGACTGGTTAGATTTCCTGTACATAGTGCTCTAGTTTTTTGGAATACCTATACACTGAACAAATTGACCGAGAGGTATATTATCGTCTAATAATAGTCTATTATTGATACTATGAGACTAATCGAATATCGAAAATAATTAAGATAACATGGATTTTTTTAATTAAAATGCATGTACTTAACAACACAGAAGACTAAACAACCACATCCTTTCACAAACGGAAAACTATGTCTATTTTGTGACAATGTAAATGGTATAACTTTGTAGAAATTTTTTTTGTCGATGTCGGAGTTAAAATTATGCTGTTTGGCCAATGGATCAATAGATTCCATATCACCAGCCGACTAGCATATCGTCCCTTTAACTTCCATCCATCATCACCAGACCATGGTTGAGCATTGTTTCAGAGTGTTTGAATACAAGAGAATGCAACAAGTCAAAGTCAACACTAATCATACTATTCATCCATTCTTCAAGGAGGTGACTTCATTCTTAACTAAATTTTTTTCTTTTCTATATACATATTCCATCGTATCTCTTTTTTCGTTCTATCCCACCACTATAAAAAAAATTCAGGTTGATATTAGTAGTGGATAGCTCATTTTCCTGAACTGCTATAAAAAATAGGTTTGTGATTTTGGTTACTTTATAATAGCACCCGATAAACGATAAGATCGAAAATCTTTTAACGGGAATCTAAAATAATTTATTCCGCCAACCTTTTAGCCAAAATAATCCACTTAAGCGTCTTTGATCTATTCATTTCTCTCTGTTCTGGACAAAATCTAAACAGTTCATACTACTCAGCAACAAAACCCAAACATCTGAGACTATTCATTTCCCTTTGTTCTATCGAATCCCAGCCAAATTGCAAACCAAAGTCGATTCCAAGCCTAGCCGAAACCACTAACCTTGTCACCATTCATAAATTTGTGCTCCTCTGCAGACACATTCTCTAGCGCAGCCGCCAGTGAGCTTAAATCGAAGGTATGTCTTTCTTCCATACTCTAATTTCTTTCTTACTCTCATTTCTATGTGATTTCTACCAAGTTCTATGTGATTGCAGTCTTATAAAACATCGATTTTAGGGTTTATATGTATCAATCTGTTATCAACGTAAGGTACTGGGATTTGATTTAAATTAGGGTACTGAAATTTGAGAAGTTACAGATTTGGTTTCCAAATTTTTATTTAGGGTATTGGGATTTAGAGTTCTGAAACTAGTTGTATATGTTCTTTTAAAATTGTTGCATTTGTACTCTTAAAACTTAGGGTACTGTCAAGTTCTTACTGTCTAGTACGCTTGTTTAGGATATACATTTCTTTTCTTTGGGTTTTTTGCACTATAAGACACTTTAAACGTAAGTTTATACAATATAGGTACTTTCCACGGTAGAGGCCCTTTCCCTTGTTTTTGGAGTGAAAATAGATAATTTTGCCCCTCCAAACTTGAAGACACAAACCGCTTAACCGGTGTGTTGAGTTTGGTTTTCGATTTGGGAACAATGTAAACATGTGGCAAACGATGGGATAAGGTAGATAAAAAGAACGAATGCGATTCGTTATTTAAAGACTAAGATAATGCAAAATTTTGGCTGTCAAATCGGAACAATTGGATGGGCGAGATGATGGCGATGTAAACAAATCACCTAACTTACGTACGGTCCGATGGCTAGGTTTGAGTTGGATTTCGAAGAGAAAGGAGTTGAAAAAGCTTGAGTTTTGGATAACAATCTCTTTCTAAGAGAAGATGACAATGGAGGTACGATTGTGGACAACATTCTAGTTTTGCACATCCAAAAAGCTTTAAATCGTAATGCCATTATTGTTCACTGTAACTAACATCAATTTTTGGGTTTATATGACTAGGGTTTTATGGACGAGTATTGTATGATTATTTGTGGAGAGTGGTTGTGTTCTTCGGACGGAGAGTGGAGAGTGGATATATAATAGTCCACATATCGGGTTCAACTAGACCAAAATATTAGACCGATTTCAATTATTTCATACAATAGAATTAAACTGACATGGACAAAATAACTCATAATAACAAAAGATACGAAGAAATGAAGTAAACTTTTTAAACTTCTAAAATTACATGATAGCCTATTTTGATATATTTTGTTTTTATTATATATGAAAAAGAAAAAGAATGAAAAAAAAAAGTTCATATTACTCCGAAATGATTACTTAGACATTATAATTTAGGGCTAATCTGGATGTTGCCCCATTCACATTCTTCTTTTTTTGCGTTGTTTCCTACAAAACAAGAGCAAGAATTAGTATTTTCATGCCATGAGATTTTCAAATATTACTACGAATAGTCTCGATGAAAATGACTCACCTCTTGGAAGAGATAAATTTCTCTATCTCCTCTTTCTGTTCAGCCTTAAAGGCTAACCATTTTTCATAAGGACTTAAATCATCAAATGTTCCTAGATCTGTACATACATAAAGATGACTCATATTAAATTAATAAATACGTCATACAAAACATTAACAACGAGTTAGTAAATTTCACACCTTGAAGCAAAAACTTTGGTTCTTCCTCAAAACACTTAAGTTTCCAGAGAACAAGTCCATTGTCCTCTATTATGTTTTGGTCAGTTCTAACAACATCACATGTTTGCATCTCTACAAACATATTTCATTAAGTTAAGCCTTCATAACAACATAAAACACAAACGTATAACACAACATTTGTAAGACCATTGATATAAAAAGTATAAGGGATTTAGACTTACTTTTAGAAATTATGTTCTTTGCCTCCATCATCTCGTCATGAGCTTCTTTAGCTTGAGCTCTTAGTTGAGACAAAAGTTTGTTATGCTCTTCACTGGAGAGCGGAACTCCGGTATTTTCCTTATAGATTTTGGCAAAATCACTTCGCATCGTCTTCCTCAGTTGTTTTTCCTATATATAAAAACCTGAGGTTTAGCACAGAGAATTGATATTTAAAACATCTTGCATATTAAACAAAATACCTTTTTATTTGCAACTGTAGCCTTTTGTTTTGCTTCTTTTTTCTTTGCTTCAAACTCCAAAATTTTGTTCTTAATGATATTCCTCATTGCCCTGAAATTTTCAAAAATAGGTTTTAAGTCATAGCAAAGAATAAATTATAAAGAAAATCAATATTGCCAATGTATTATATATATATAATAACCATACAATGTGGTAAGTGATTCATCACATAAGAAGTTCAGAAGCTTGAGCCTTCTTGAAGCATCCATCTCATTATACTTTGCATCACCTCCTTTAAATGTTTCAGGTGGGAATTCATTACTTAAAACTCCCGACTTCAATACTAAATCCCCAATAGCATTGAACCAATTGTTATTAATTTCACTTAAAGACAAAGACCTGTAATAATTCAAAGACATAAGAAATTTAAAGACGAAGAAATAAAATATATGTATACTATTTCAGGATAGAAAAAAACATTCATACATATTTCTATCATGTGATATTAACTCCAACAACTGGATTATCATCGAGATAATAGAGCAGTATTGTTGTCCCTTTGTACGCTCGCTTGAAAAAAGCTCGTGCACAATAGATGTAGGTTGTCCTTCTCTCAAACCCAGATCCTATCATAAAAAACAAATAAAGTTGATTGAGAGTAAATAATAATACAGAAAGACTAACAAAAAATCATGAGTTCATGGTTGAGGTATATATAGAATTAAATGAACATACCTTTCCAAAGACTGAACAAAATTCTAGAAGTTGAAATAAATTTCCAACTTCTTCAAAAGGTACATCAAAGCCTAAAACGGAAGTTAAATTTATAACTTCAGGCATTTGAACCTCAAAATTATTACCCTCTTCTTCATTGGATTTGGAATTCTTGATCCTACTCACAAATTTGGTGCTCTTGGCAACATCTACTTGATAAACGTATAATTGTTAGTTTCTCATTTTAAAAAGAACATCAAAACATAAAATATAAGTTCTTACTACCAATAGCTTTCGCATTTGTTTTGGAAACATAGTCATTATTGTCACTACTAATACCTTGAGTAGAAGTATTATTCTGCAAAATTCATATAATCAAATAAGTATAATAAAATTACATATGTAAACTAATTCAAGAAAACAAAAAAAAATAGATGTAATTGTTTCCAATACCGGTTTTGGCTCCCTCTGATAAGCAAAGTTATCATGCTCCTCAACTTTGTGAAGCTCCGAGAGAGATGATAATCCACTGGTTTTTGCTTTGGCAACAAATTCCATTGTCTTACTGCAAGAAAGAAAAAAATTGATCAAATAGTAAACAAAACTATAAAAATGAATCCACAAACATAATTTGATGGAAGAAATACAATTTTTTGTTACTATACATGACTCCAAACAAATTTAAAAAAAAAAAGGCAATCTAGTAAAATCACAGTCTTGCTCCTTCAGTATCACTTGATGAATATGTTTTTAAAGGTAATTGATGTAATAGAGGAAAATGGTATAGAAGGGTTTTATTTTGTTTTCTATATTGCTTTCCATTCACGCAAGGCTCTGATTAGCATCACATTTGGAAACAATTGCTCTGAAACAGAATAAAGAGAATGGCTATAACGAAATCCAAAAATTTGACTGAAAACTCATTAAGTATATTTGTTGAATGAAATCTAGAAGACAAAGTGACAAAATATAAGATGGTGATTTGTAGTTATTGTCAATGTATCCTAATTTGGGTTTAAACTCACATGATGCATGTTGTAGCAAAAAACAAATGGTGGACTGAATAAACTAAAAAGAAAAAAAAATGAAATTTCGTTCCTCCAAAAATCATCTAAAGTTTATATGAAGTTTAGATGATTTTTTTTTTAAAATCTAAAACCTCATCAATCTAATCATAAATAACAATCAATCAAACAAGAAAAAGATAGAAGGAACATGAATATAAAAGGACAAAAAAATCTAATTACATAAAATCTATCAATAGGTAAACTTTATCGGACCGTCGGTGAATGATAACGGTGACGATGGTGAGAAATGTTTTTTTGATGAGATCCGTCGCCGATGGAGGCTTTGTGATATAGAGTAGTAGGCGAGAGATACTTCCCGACAAATAGTCGTCGTTGAGAATGACGAAGTGGAAAGCTACCAGTCGTCACAGAGATTTGCTGACGGAGGCGGAAGTAGAAGAGAAAATCAAAAAAATTATTAGGTTTTATATTAGTCAAATTTATAAGAAAATCTTACCTATGATGACCTACTATTGTTTAGAAATAATTAGAATGCCCTCTTTACCTTAATTTTTAACTATTTTGGGTAAATTGTTTTATAATCCTAAAATTAACTTTATTATAAATATGATATCAAACAATTTATCCCTTATTTGAACAATCATTCTTAAATAAAAAACCTTATTTTCACATGTGATTAACGAAAATGCCATGCTGACGAGTCACCCTCACAGAGGTCCTTAGCCCATTTAATTAAACGTCCAACCTTTACTAGAATATTTACAGACTTTGCCATTGGTGTTACTTATACGTATTTTATTCAATTAATTTATAAGGCACATAACATACTCGTATTCACTCAATTAATTAAAAAATGAATACGAACTTCACCTAATTTGGAAATAAAATTTTTGAAAAAAAATATTTTATAAGTTTGATGAAATAAAAGGAGAAAAAAAATCAAAACTCTATAGGTTCATCTAAAGAATATGTAATCATTTATTTTTATATGTCCGCGGTCATTCGTGGATTGGTTCGTCTTTACCTGAAATATCTTAGCTACAAATAAGAAAGAGTTTAATTAGGTAAGATTACTCAATAAAATACAATAGATATAAATTTTATTTTTATTGCCATAAATGGAAACAGTTCGTTAATACTTATCTCTTCTAAAGGCACTTTGAAACTACTTCCCACAAAAAGTATATGATCGGCAAATTGGTTGGTTCAAAATACACAAAATGATTGTTCCGCGTATCGAATCCTAATTCCTATATGAATAAATCACATATTTAAGTAAAATTAGAAAAATATTTATCACACAAACAAATTTTAGATACCAGATAATAATTTTACCAATGAGTACAATAGATTTTTTTTAATAAATAGTACACTAAGATTACTTAGTAATCGTTTTATCCAGCATATAGTTCCTGTTGTTACCTAATGTAATAGTATTAAGTAACAATATTTCTTATATCAAAAAACATTTCTCCTAAAGTGAAATATATAACACGACAACTCAAAGTTTGGACTATCCTTTATTACAAAAAAACTTTATAGTCGCTATTTGGATCATCATATTTGGTTTGTTTTGTCACCTGATTTGTCAGCGGTTTGGGTCATCGGATTTTTCAGCTGTTTAGATCGCTTGTTTTTGTTGTAAATGATGTGTGTCAAGGTTTTACCTCGAATAAGTTGGTTTTGAGGTTTTTTCATAGGCGAAATAGCAAGTAAATAGAGCAAGTAAAAAACGGGAAGAGATCAATAAAACAAACATTGAACCTTGGAAGATTTCACATGGTATTCAGTAATCGTTTCATTCAAGGAACTCTAAGATATGTGGTCGTTTAATTTCTAAGTTATCAAACTTGAAATACGAATGAAGAAAATACCTATAGTATGTAAAATAAACTATCTAAGGCCTTTATACTCATCTACACGACAATAGCAGGAACGTCGCATCTACACATATATTATAAGCAAGTTTGAATAAGTTCACAGGAACACCATAACTAAGGGGTATGTGCTTGTTATGAGATCAAGTTTTTCTAACTCTAGGTTTAAGCAAATAGATCTACACGTTTAATGTGTCTGTTTCCCTGAGATCAACACCAAATTAAATTCATGACGTTAACCACATGTATTAAGATCAAGTATAGATGAAGAACAATGTAAAGGAAACAACCCTTAAAACGCCACTTCAAATAATCAATCATGAAGTCCCCTTTGAATAACCCTTAAAACCCAACCGAGTGTCAATCTTTTGCCTCAATTCGACACAATGTAAAGCTGCAATTGCATAGCTAATCGTGTGTAGTACTGAAGGATCGAATCTCACAGAGAGATGACGTTATGCTACATATCTGTCATAAGAGAATAAGACTAGGAAGATAATATAAAAGGGGTTTTGGGTTCTGTCAAGATGAAACTAAGTAAGCAATAACGTAATTAAAGCAAATCGAACTAAGGAATAAATCAATAAGGAAAGTTGGGCATTAAGGAATTCGCAGGGTATTCAACGTTCGTTTCATTCAAGAAAATCTATGATATGTGAATGTTTATTTTTAAGTTTTCGAACTCAAAACATGAATGAACAAAAGACTACTATCGTAGAATCAAACTTCTAGAGTTTAAACTACTCTGTTACTCAACAGTTCGCTGGCAACGACGAAATCAAACAAGCGTGAATAACAAGTTTTGATCAGTTAACAAGAATACCATAACTAAGGGGTATGTGCTTATTATGAGATCAACCTCGTCTACATCTAAGATCGAGCAAATAATCCCCATGGTTTGCGACTCCCATGAAACGATCATTGAATTCCCTGAGAAATGCCTTACTGCCCAACACTTTCCTTATTGATTTTTTTCCTTTGTTTTATTTGCTTTAATTCATGATTTCCACCACATACATTAATATTAAGTATATACGAAAAACTAGTGCAACCAAACCAACTCTAGATTTCGCCACTCAAACTAATCGATCATGAGCTCCCCTTTGAATAAATCATTAAACCCAACAACTAAACTACTGAATCATGCTTAAAGGAATCATTAAAGCAAGGTTTAAGAATTTTATATGCTTAAATCGAAATAGGAACAGAAATGGTTCAGAGATTACTTGTCTATATCGAGTACAAAGAGGTAAAACCTTCTCCCCTTAAGAAACAAAGCAAACAAACGAAAGACAAAGTGTTTTGGTGACCTTAAAAGGAGATAAAGAACAAGAGGAATGCTTGGGTTGTAGATGCTTGCCGGCTCTCTATTCTCTTCAAAGGTACACAAAAAACCTAGGTTGAAACAATTCTTTATAGGTCTTGTGGTGCAAAGAAGTCGGTTTAGGATTATTTACTCCAAAGCTCAGCTTTTTGGTAAGGTCCAGGACGCATACCATCTAGACCGGTTAAATGAGTTTTGACCGGTCCCTGGAGTGTGTATATCTCGGGGAAGCGAGCTGTGACATGTGCGGTGAAGGGCTTTAGACCGGCCATACTTCTTCTAGCCAATAAAAGACATGAATAGGAATATCGAGCATAACTTCCAATCAGCTTGATGGTTAAGTTTGATTCCACTCGCAGGTGAAAGATGACTCTTCTAGCTTTCCAACGACTCAAAAATCTCTCAATTTGGTGCATGGGAAGATACTCAGAGAATGTGAAACTTTCGATTCGTCGAAATTGTCTTGAAAACGTAGTATGCTCGTCTTTTGGTCCATTTTGCCATATAACTTGTAAAACCTTTTTGGCACTTAAAAGATTGGAAATCATCCACATAACCTTAAAATCAGCTCAAAAATTTGGTAAAACCATTAGAAATTGTAGTTAAATTGGGCGAAAATACGAGGTTATCAACTCCCCTATAGTTAGACTTATATTGTCCTCTAGCACACAAGAAATTAAAGTCATGGAAAAGAAGTTTGAAAATCAAGGAAACTCTCTTATCATCGGGACCGTGCCTTGGACTAAAATCTGCAGACTACATTATAGATAATTTGCATTAGAATATTCTCACTATAGTCTTACAACTTTCCCAACTCTTGCCCATCGATTCCAAACCTACAAACCCTCTGAATTCACTCAACTCTCTACGTTCATTAAGTTTTTGCGTGAGTTTTCTCATCGAAAGATGTAATTCAGGGTGTTTTTTTGGTGTTAAAGGTGGAATTTAAAAGTGTTTCGGGATACCAAATGATTCGGGGGATGTAAGATATTATCCAAAATCGAGAATAGATCGACATGTTGATGTCCAAAGCTTCCAACCAGTTCTTCGTATAACTACTTTTTCTTGACCTTTATCTCTTTTTTATTCACCCAAAGTTAGAATTTTTCGGCGGGGATCTTTTAATAAACCAATCCTCGGTTCTCCTTAGGATTTTCCTTTGCTCTAGCCCTTCTTATTCTGTAATTGTTTCCTTTCCTTTCGTTTTTTAAAGGAGAAACGGTACGTGAGCACGAAAATAGTACCCTTTTAGGCGAATCTCATAGGACAAATAGGAAATCAATTCTCTGTACCTGCCAAGTTTTTTTGAGATCTTCATCTTCTGTTGTCGGTAAATTATGTCATTCTTTACTCTTTGAAGTTTTTCCACATAGATGCACATATGATAATGAAACACGTGTGCATATAGTTCGAAAGAAGAGAATGGTTTTAAGATGTCTATCACTAAAAATAAGTGGTTATTCAGGATCAACAAAGAGTGGTAAAGTGAAAAAGAAGTCCTAAAGGTATGATCCATTTCCCTAATGTAACACTTTCAATGAGAAAAATAAAGTCATGTTAGATGTCCACATAAGATAGAGTTGACGTTCGATCCAACATAAATCTTTGTAAGATGAAATTTCTGTGGAGTGTTCCGGTTGTAGCTGTTGGAACTTATTTTTTAAACAAGTGGCTCCGGCCAACTTTCCGGCAACTTTTCCGGTGACGTCCATCATCGGAATGACCCACACGCACGCGCGCCGCCGCCGCCGCCGTGCCGCCCCGGGCCGGGCCTGGGCTTGGGCTTGGGCTTGGGCTCTTGGGGCCTTCGGCCCACAAAAGAAATTCTTTTTGGAGAAAATACTTATGTGGTTTTTGCAACATTCCTACATAAGTTTTGGCCCAAATCGAAAGCCCATTAACGAATTCAAACTTGCATAATTAAAAGGCATATTCGAATATTCCTTTCTCGAAATCGAGCTCGCGTAACAGCTCCGGATTTCTCTCCCACGATCTCGATCTGGGCCGAGTCTTTCGCCTCTCCACCTCGCGTCTCAACTTCCCGAGATCCTCGCGCACGAGCCTGGATTTTCGGATCGCACCGTCCTCTCTTCTTTGCTATAAAAGCAAGCCTCCTATCACTCATTTTCATCACTTGCTCTTCGCAAAAACGCAACCAAACAACTCTCTCCCTCTCTCTCTTTCTTCTCAAAGTAAGTCACAAGAGTATATCGTTTATATCAAGTTCGTAGA